TTTTTTATTGAATATTTATAAAATGTTACTTTATTTCTTTCAATCTTTTCACAGGGATGGCTGTAAATCGTGCAGTTGTTTGGGCTTAGGAATTATTTGAGCAAAGGAGAAGAGAGAATCTTTCATACCATTCTTCGTTTTGTCTACATGACTATAGGCAAGCTAAAGAGAAAGCTGGAGCCTTGAAAGATTATCTCCCCCCTTCCCCCCCTCATTCCACTAGAAGAATAACAATGCCTCGTCGCGTGCCTGACCGGCACGTGTCGCTGTCGAACAAGACATCGTCAAGGACATAAAGGACGAGGGTCCATAATCGCTTCTTATTTCAAGGCTACAGCAAAACTTTCTCTCAGAGAAAAATTTTTCTCGAAATATAATAGTGCCCGCATATTAGTAGGTATCCCTTGATGTTCGGCCCACAGCGCTACACATTCATACCGAAACACACGTACGTGTTATTGAAAACGCGAAGAAGGCGAGTAGCACAAAGGAAGAAAGACGCTCCGATATTCTGTCCTTAGCGCAAGGCTCACGATTGAGAGAGAAAGCGTAATTGGATGTAATGCCGGCTCGCGGTGTTCTTTCGCTGTCTCACACATTTGTTATTAATACGAGTGAGATACCTCAGTCTCTTGCTCACCAATATTCATAATAATATTTTTATTATGCACAAAATGTTGTAATTATGCATAAAAATTTTTAATACTGTAACAAATTTTTGTGCATAATTACAATACGTGTAATTTTTAGACTTATTGTAATAGCTTTACATGCATTTATAAATTTGCAGTGTACAAATGAAATTAATATTTTGAATCGCAAGATTGTATCATCTTTTTCACTGCGTGTTTATATACATTTTTTTAAATGCATGCTTATTTGGAAATTTTTATTAATTAATTTTTTATTAAGTATTGCAAATCATAAAACGATAGAAGATTTTTCTGTTTTTCGAACGTGCGATCAAAATACGATTTTTTTTTGTAAGTGCTGAGTGCAGGCATTAAGGAAGTGGAACCTTTTGTTGATAAAACTCTTTGTTGATTTTTTTCTTTCAGAATATAGATATATATTGTCTAAACACCGTGAAAGATATAAGAAAATGTTTAATAAATGTTTTATGGTTTTAAGTGCGCTTTAAAAGAGCATATTTTTTTGAAATTATATTTTTCAATATATCTCCTCCTCCCATCTTTAATTTTTAAATATTTTTAATTTTTATAATGACAAAAATTAAACAACATTTTACGCTGAAAATAACAATGTATTATGTAGATATATATTTTTTTTCATATATATGCGATGTATTTGCATTGTTTAATAATTCTTTTGTTTTATTCATATATACAGTGATATATTCGATTCTTTTATCAAAATAATTAAATTAATTATAAATTACTTAATTTAAATATTTATTAAGTTGATTTATTCAAAAAAATGTTAAATATCTCATAATATATAAATTTATATAATATAACAATATGTAAGTCTATTTTCTTAGGGAAGATTCAATTTGTTTACATTCTCAATCGCATACACCACACACGTCAACTGTGATTCCTAATAATTTTTTTTGCTTTACCAATAAGAATATTTTACTTTAAATTAGCCAATAAACGATGTGCTTGGCCAATATATGTGCAAATGCAGCACTCCCATTTCTTACATATATTCTGTTTTTATTTTATTTTACATATTTATATAATTCGCCTATTGGATATTCGGATATACATGAACTATATACAATACATAAAAATTTTGAAATTATTTTTATATGTTTATTCTTAAGTCGATATTTATAATCTGTTTTTATTTTAAGACCGTCTTAAGTAATTTCTTAAGATTTTCTAATGGCTTTCTGATTGGTTCATGACATTATAAGACTGTACTTAAAACAGTTTTAAGGTTTGCATTGCATGTTCCAACTAGAGAGCCTCCCTAATTCTGATTAAGTATTCTCCTTATATTGAATTGTGATTGGTTGGTTCCTACGACTTAAGGTCTCCACGACCGTCTATGACTTCTATGTAAAGGACCTTTAAGAAGGTCTTGAAATAAGAACCGACTATGAATACCGGCCTCTGATTGGCTTATGACATCTTAAGACTATATTTAAACAACTTCAAATCTAATGCGTGGTCTACAATGGCAGTAACAGTAATGAATGATGTTGTAAGAGTAAGAAATCAACCAATCATAGTTGATTATTTTTCTCACATTCAACTATGATTGGTCGATTTCTATGCCTACTGCTTAATCACCTGTTACTGTCCATTGTAGGCTGTGCTTAAGAATCGACTATGAATACCGGTCTTTGATTGGTTCGTAACTTCTTAAAACTGTACTTAAGATGGTCTTGAATAAAAGATCTGGGGTTATTACGGTTCTTTAGACAAAGTGAAAATTACAAAAATGAACAAACTCACTAGGTTAACCAATGAAGTTATAATATATTCTAATTAATTCGGTCACTTTCATAATTTTCATCTCGTTTCAAGAATCATAAGCCCCCTAATTATAAATCCCTAATTATTAGTAGTATCTTACACAATTAGGCTATATTCCAAAACTTCTTCTACGAGGAAAATTTTACTCGAAATATATTGTACATGTAATGTATACTATAACATATAAAATAAAATCTTCCTCGGAGAGAAAATTTTGGAATGTTTTTGAGGCCTTTACGGACATTACTTAAGACGGCCTTAAATTAAGAACAGACCATGGCCCATATTCTGAATTTTCTTTTAAAGATGTTTTTAAGCATGTACAATATTAGTATCTGTAACATAACCAATATATACCCAATATAATCAATATATAACCAATATAAAAGCGCCTTATCGATAAAAAGAGGATTCGGAATATAAACTGCTCTTTATAATACCTTATCAAGCAAAACGAACAAACTTACCAAATTTCATCTAATGATTGATGAATAAGCCAGTTGGTGGATAAACCAATCATACAGTAGAGAATTTCAAAACTTATTGAAGCTGATTGGAGCTTGTGTTTTGGAAAATTCTCGCTTGTGCAGAGCACGTGGATCTTCAAAATAATAAACATGTACATACATCCATGATGTAAGTTCAGCATTTATAACGTACGATAGTGACTCAAAAAGCTCTGTGATCGGTCGGAACGAATTTCGGAACGAAAAGAAATTATGCAAAGAAAATTACACAAAGAATTGTTAATGTCGTTCTTTTGAAGTAAAAGAAAAAGAAAAAAGAAAAAAGAGGTTATAGACGAATTATACAAAAGAAAGTGAATTAAATGTACGGAGTGATATAAAAATTATTTGAACATTCTTGATACAAATTGGTTTGGATATATAACGAAAACTAAAATTCATAATTTTTATAATTAGTATAATAAATTTCTTGTAAGTACATTGCTCATAAGTAATAAAAATATTATATAAATATATCACAAAATAGTAGTAGACAAAAATAATCTCTCTATGAACATTCTTGTTGAAATTAAATCTCTTTGATTTTTATTATAAAGTTATATTGGGTTATCTAAAAAGTATCCGCGGTTTTTTGTCACTACATGTGTGTCGATGGTCATATATCTAGTGACAAAGTACCGCGGATACTTTTTAGATGATCCAATATAATGTATAAATTTTGATTGTTTTTCCTTTCTAGCTTCTACTGTACTGATGAATGGTTACGACTACAAGATGAACTTGCCACTAGTATACTTTGATATGTCTGCAGATGATAAACCACTGGGACGAATTATAATGCAATTACGGACTGATGTTGTACCAAAGACATCAGAAAATTTTCGTGCCTTATGTACAGGAGAGAAAGGTTATGGTTATAAAGGAAGTTATTTCCATCGTATTATTCCAAATTTCATGTGTCAAGGAGGTGATTTTACGAATCACAATGGTACAGGTGGAAAATCCATCTTTGGAGAAAAGTTCGAAGATGAGAATTTCGAACTCAAACATACTTCTTCAGGTACATTATCAATGGCAAATTCTGGCCCGAATACAAATGGCTCGCAATTTTTTATTACTACTGTAAAAACGCCTTGGTTGGACAATAAACACGTTGTGTTTGGGAGTATTCTTGATGGAATGGATGTTGTAAGAAAAATTGAAAGTTATGGTTCATCGAATGGGAAAACATATCAAAAGATTATGATAGCAGATTGTGGTCAATTCTCATAAGCATTAAATAAATAAGCAATAAAATAAAACAAAAAATGCACCAAGTACTTTTAGTTTTGTTCATAATTTTGAAACTTGCAGTTTTCTATCGTTTCATAAGAAAAGCTGAGTAATGCTGGAATAATTCTGCTTAAATATGTGAGGATATTAGGAATTGGAAATCTAAACCAAGTTGATGCATTTATTTAGTTTTTAGATACATAAATGATATAAAGTATTTTATTTAAGTATAATACAATATTGTGATCTTTTTTTTAAGTATATATAATAAGCAAGTATATTTTTTTGTGCAGTAAGATTATTTAGCTTTACTTCATTCTTTTGTAATTTTGTTTATAATGTGATTACTACGTTTAAAACTGATATTTTTTTTATTTTAAAGAAGATAATGAAGATATAACTTTATTATGTATGTAGTAACTCTTGCGAACTGATATTATATATATAATTATGTACAACTAACTGATTCGAAGAAGACAATCGATCGAGAACGATCTTCCAATGTCTGAATGTAAACAAATATGAATGAAATTTCTATATATATTCTTGTTTGTGAATTTTTAAAAGAAATTCGCAATAATGGGATTTTATCAATTTCATGATTTACTGTAAATAACTAAAAATTTTTTAATAATATTAGATATAAAAACTAAATTTATATAAATCACTATTAATTAATATTTGAAAAAATAAACAACTGTAAAAGATTATGATGCAATTTTTATGTATAATTATATTTGTAAGAATTATCATAATTATTCAGATATACTAATACTTAATATATTCAGAGGTTTTTGTTTTATTATAAAACAAAAATTATACAAACATATTAGGTAACAGTTCATTTTATGACATACAGATATCAACGAGTATAAATATCATTACTAACTACTTGTTAATGACACTGATATTATTACTAATCGATACATACTGGTAAATTAACAACGAAAAATGTGTTTAGTTCTACAACAGATGCGAATATCAAAAATATGGCATACATAACGAGACAGGCGATTCCAACTGTGCGACTTAACGTGAATTTGTTAATAAATAAAGCTCCGTATAGCATAATTAATGTTGAGAAGAGAGATACTGAGCTATAGACTAGCCCTTGAGAATTAATCTGAACATAATACTGTCCAGGTACTTTTGGTAATAGTATACTCTTAACAAACCATGGTAGTCCGAGACACAGTAAGACATCGAACACATTCGACCCGATTGAATTACTTATCCCCATAGCTCCGTAACCTGGAAAATCATAATAATCTATATTTGATGTATATTTTAAAGATTGAAAAAAATTCATGTTAAATGAATTCTTGCTTTATTGCGATAACACTGCTATCTATTGTTCAAAAGTTTAATATTTGTACATACCTTGATTAGCAACGATAACGCTCGATACTGCTTCAGGTACACTCATTCCTGCCGCCAGGAATGTTAAACCCATAATGGAGTCAGGAATTCTGAAGGTATCGCCTAAAATATAACATAAATATAATAGAAGCAGGTATTATTGATTGTATTAAATCTACAGTATTAAATTCTAAAAAACATCTGAAGAATATGGAATTTTATACAGGATATTTTCAAACATAATCGAGATGTTATTTTGACATGATAATGTCATACAAAGTTTGATGTTTCAGTATTTTACAAAAATTTTTTTTTTTGGCAATGTTAATAATCTTAGTAAGCAAAATGTTAGCAGATTTAAGTATAATATTGTGACAGATTAACATGTATTATTTTTTGCTTTCTGTCAATAGAGCTATTGACATAAGGTATCTATCAGTAGACTATCTATCAGCAAAAATCGAATGAAATCAATGATTTTACGATTATTTAAATGAAATATATCATTAATGCTAGATTCAGTTTGATATCAACGGTTAATTTATCTTGTATTTTCTCAACAATTTCTATTATATTGCTAATGGCATTCTTCCAATAAAACTTCCAGTACTTTGCAAAATCTATTTTCGACGAACTTAGCTATCTAACAATAATAAGATGTTAAATACAAATGTTCCATTGATGGCACGCACCAATAATAGTGATGACCCATCCTATGATATAAGACGAAATCCCAATCCATGTTACGCACATGATGAATGTCAAGGGATACCAAGATTTTAGCTTTTTTCTTCTACAATCGGGAATAGTAAGGAGTAATGCCACATTGATAGGCCAAGTAATAACCCACCATATCTTCTCGCATGTAGAGCTCGGCCAGGTTATAATGTCGACGATATCATCTGAAAAGAGACAATATAAATATTTTATAACTATCTAGATAGCCAAACGCTAATAGTATACAGCAGTTGCCAGCAAATTCGATCATGATTTTAGAGTAGATAACTATATTCATTGATTTGAAAATAAAGATTTGTAAATCGAATTTGCTGACAAATTCGATCATGATTTTAGACTTTTAGAGCAGATTTCTATCCACTGTCTTGCCGAAAATAAAAATTGGAGCTTGGAATTGAATGTAAGGGAAGTGTAAACAAAGCTTCTATAAGACGAAAATTAAGACAACGAAAGGAGATGTTCAAGTTTCTTTTACGTTTTGTTAGTCTCAATTTTCGTCTCAGAAACTTCGTTTACGCTTCTATTACACTTTTCTTCTACATTCGACTTGACGCTTTGATTTTTATTTTCGCAAGGATGTGTCCTCTTTAAGCTTGATTTCTGCCATTACGACTTGCCATAATACATCATGATGTCATAATGCAGAGCCTGCTTGTTTTCTGATATATTTCTACCGATATTAGAAAAACAGCAGACTGTGCTTGGCTGTTGCTGGAGTTCTACTAACATAATACGTAATACTCAAATTGCAATACATGCTTTTGGCAAGTTTGGCTATTTGGGATAGTTACATGTCACATCGTTGACTAATACGAGTCTTTCAATGTTGGAATTTTTAATTTGGAATTCCTAATCCTAATTTGGAATAAAATAGTATTATTATTTCTACAACAGAATCTTATTTGTTGCACGCATAATTGCATCCCAGACTCATACTAGCCATCGACTTTTAACTATCGAAATAATAAATAAATTTATTCAGATAAGTATTTTATATTACAAAAATGATTCTATTTAAAATGGTGCTATCAAGTAAGAACTATACTGTATTAACGTGCATGCATATTTTCGGATGAATTTAGTCGACACTCTATTATTCTTAAATAATTTCCTAAGAAATCGTTTGTATTTTGTATGAAGATTTTTAAAGTATATCTAATTAATAAAATTTGACAGTTATCCAGATAATTTTGATTAATTATTTTTGCATTATGCAAAGACGTTAGTAAATTAAACAAAGTTTTGCTATTTAAAACCATTTGTATTTTACATGAAGTTTTGAAGAAAATATTTGATAATCATTTAATTAATTTATATATTTAATTAGTTTATATTAAAAATATTTGATCATTATTTAATTAATTTATATATTTTTAAACCACATAACTATTATATCGGTTTTAAGTTTATTCGAATTATGCATTATTTATGTGTATATATGTGCGTTTTAAAGGAAAAGGAAAGATACACTGCATTAAAATTGTACAAAGACACTGCAATACATAAGTGCAATACACTTAAATATTATAACACACGTGTTATGTGTGTGCTCTGTGAGACATACCTGATTCATCCTGGTCACTCAAACTAAATCCAGATATCTCCGTTTCTTTGACGAGATCTATTTATTTTAAAATGAAATAGATAGTCAAGTATGAGATTATATTTTTTACGAACAGTTATCGAATGCAATCTCTGCAGAGATATGTGGATTAAAAAGGATAGCTTCCAAGAAAATTTGTTTATTTTTAATATTTATTTATTTGTTTTCAATTGATATGCATTAAATCGTGAATTAAGACCGTGGTCAGAGTCTCGCCACAAATGCTTTGAAGAATTGCTTTGATTGACCAATCAGAAGAAAGAATTTTATAAATTAACCAATCAAAAAACGCTTTAAAGCATTTGTAGCATCGCGTTGACCACACTCTAAATTAATAATAATGCAACTGCTGGAAGAAAGAAAGAAAAGTTCATTTTAATAAAAATAGGAAGGAATTTAAAAGTATTGTCTGACTTCTAAAGATTGAAAGTTTATAATATTTCAAAATAAAATTATATCAATTCCTTTTAATTCACTTATTTTTGCAGAGGCGGTAATAATAAATTATATTGTAGTGATCTTACGATTCGGCAGGAGCGGACTCTGCTCGCAAATATTTCTGTATTTTTTTCTCTTAGCAATTATTCGTTTTAAGAAATTATTGATGCGACGATTGAAACACATTGCTGAAAAAGTAAGCATTCTAATTATTGTGATATTCTGTTACAAATAACGTTGTTTGCGTTTTAAAATGTTAATGAAATTAAAGTGTCCAAACAATCTCGCCCGTAGAACACCAACTAATAATAACACGATGTCAATGTTATAATTTCCTACTCAACAACTATATAACTGTTGTATACAACATGTGTTACATTACATTTGTGTTGCTGAGAGGAAAATTTATATTGATGTAATATTTTACTGTTAGTTTCTATTCTGCGAGCGTGTTATTTTCAAAGGATCGCATATTAATTTATCTCAAAGAGAACAAGAAAGTCAAAATAACTTATTATATTGATTGAATCATGACAAAAAATAACATAAATTCAGTCCATAATTGGTTAATGTGACGCCAAATTGATATTATTTTAACTTTATTATTCTTCTTGGGATAAAAATTGGAAATGAGTTTATTTTCATGTACATTGTAGTTTATAATGTGGTAAACACAAAATATAATACACAAAAGGCTCAATAATAGATAATTCTTGAGCCATAATGTATTAAAGATATTAAAGATACGTAAAATGAAGCACCTTTAAGAGCTGCTCAAGAACTATCCATTATTGAGTCTTGTGTCTTTTTATTTTTTACTCATGCATGAAAACGAACTTATTTCATTAAGATTCAATTTTCTATGTAATTAGTGCGGGGTCCTTTGCAGCATGATGAGCGATTGTTTTCATAAGCGAAATAGTTTTTCAATATTTCCTAATTCGATTCGCTTTATTCATTGATATATTACCTAATATATATAGAACGTAACAAATGACGAGGATGAGTGCCTCGTACCACTCGATACGTCCATCCCATAGAGTCAGGATTAAGAGAAGAACTGTGAAAGCATATGCTAGTGTATCGCGCGATATGGGCCACCACTCCAAGTGCAGTATCTGCGAATGTGATAATCATATGTGATAAGGAGAGTCGAACGCATGAGAGAATCCCTAAATGTAATCGCGCGAGTTTTACCTCGTTAGCAAATATCGCGCAGCATGCGGGTACAGCCAGTATATTGAACACCGCCGAACCGACGATGGTGCCAACCCCCAGGTCACCCTCCGTCACGAAGGTGCCGATGACGTTGATGAACAATTCCGGACTTGAACTCGCGGCCGCCATTACGGTCGCGCCCCCCCCCCCCCCCCCCCCCCCCCCCCCCCCCCCCCCCCCAGCCACATCCTCGGTGACATCGAGCTCTGTTGTGAGATATTTCTTCATTTTACATTCGTGCATGTTTACGAAAAAAAAAGTAGTATAATAAACGCATAACATAATACGCCAAACTGCAAACGTCTTACGCTCGTCACAGCGAAACGAGAGAGAGAGGAGCCGCAGTGAGGTCATATTAAAGTTGCAAGAAAATGGATGGATATTTCCGAACAATTCGCTCTTGTACTCACTCTCGCAAATTTTCTTAATAGAGGGAACGAAATAGTCGTCACAGATAATGGCAAGTAATAAAAACAGATAAATAGCGATGAGGAAGTGGATTATTATGAATCCTGCCTGTCTTTGCTGTCGTGTAAGACCATCAGGTGGGAACTCTTTGATCGCTGGTGACGTGCAGTTGAAACTGTCGTTTTCAAGTTGCTCGAACTCGCTCGTCTGCAGCAATCTACGTCCTCCTGAAACACGAAAAAGGACATCGTGATGTGAACAAAAGTATTAAAAAAAAAAAAATAGAAAAGATTAATCGTTTTGTTCACACGATGGCCAAATCTCGACCGATTCTTCTTTCGTTCCAACATCGCGGACTCAGTACGGTTGCCATCTTTTGACTAATGTTCCGCTGAAGATCACATCTCTATCTTGTCGCAGATTCAATTGTCACTATTAAAATTGTTACTTTCTTGTAGTGCTTTCTTTAAACAAAAAGATCATCAGATCTGATCCTTCTACCGGATATTTCTGTTTGAAATCGGAAGAAAGTCGATGCGCACATGAACTTAAAATAATTTTCCCCTTATTTATGCTCGAACATTTCTCGATTTATTTCACTTAATATTGCTTAAAATAAAGATTATTAAAATTTAGAGCGGTTATTCGTTCAAAAATCTGGCTGAAAACCGGAGAGGCAATCGTGACGTTCAGAGAAAAGCGGAAAAAAAATATATTTTATATACTCACGCCAGTCCGTTGCATAGCCGACATTTCTCGTATTGTCAGAAAACAGTCCCATTATATTGATGTAAAAAAAGTACATAGTTGGTACAGTAATAATGAAAAGTATCCGGTATCCGACCGTCTGTCTGCGCCGCCATACCATCCTTTGTTACGTAAGAACGTGCGTAAAGTGCTGGTCCTTCTCAATAATAAACGTGAAATATATACGTAAGAAATGAGACGCGATGAGGATCTGGACGCGGCGTGAATGGTTACCTGTCGTTTATCCGACACGTACAGTTCGAGTATATACTTATATTTTTCGTCCATCGAAGATTTATCACGACGCTGATAAGATACTGTTTAAGGCAATTGCGTTCGAATATCTTCGATTAAAAGATGACAGGAAAGTTTCTGTGATTGCCTCGTTCTGTGATTTCTACGTCCGCCTCTTTGGACATAAGTCTCTACCGATTTATACGATGCTCACATACGCTGATCTTATCTTTGACGAAAGCTTTGCGTTGCTTTACGTTTTGCATCAGTAATACAGCCTTGTCAACTTGTTCAACGGAGAGCATCTTTTTTTATATATACATTATTTTATATATATTATACTTTTTAATTAGTCGCACAGCGGATATCATATAAAGTTTGACAGTGCGCGTTTATTTATAATTTACTTCGAATTTACTAGATGAATTTAGTAGATGATACTACGTGAATAAGTTCCGATATCTTCGAAGTCAAATAAAATCGTGCACGAGTTTTAACTTATTGTAGCATTTTTTTTCTTTTTTTTTTTCTCGATATATGAAAAACAGTGTCGTGCGATTCTTCTAATCGCACATATCAACTCTCTTTATTTGCGCGAGGCGCCGTTTTTTATCGTGTTATACAACAAATATTATATCGAGTGATTTGAAGGAAGAGGAAATACATTTTCACATATCTATTTTGCAATAAAAATCGTAACATGCACATATTCAAAGTATATTCCACGAGATCACGTTTTTTACGAAATATTTTGTAGGTACGTATAATAGGTTTTATATAATAATTTAATTATTATATACCACGCGCAGAGACGTACATAAAACTCGTACTTAGGGTTGATATTAGTAACTCATACAGGGCACTATAAGAACACTTATATACTTTGAAACATATTGCGTCACATTCACTGTTTGCAAATTTTTATTATGATTATTATTATTATTATTATTATGATGTTAGAAACTCAAAAGTAACGCTTAAAAATACAACACGTATGTTAATGAAGTTGCATACTGAAAAAAATATTTAAAAAATCATTTTTAACATAATAAATTGAGTTTTTAACATAATAATAATAATAATAATTACAATAATAAAAATTTTGTTAAAAAACTATGCTTCGAAGTCCTATAATATCCTATATAAGTTACGACTAATATCATCCCTTAGCGTTTAATGTTTCTGCGCGTGATCTAAATACTATGAAACAAAAAGAGTGGGGATGATAGGCAAAATCGATCAAAATGTGCAACTCGACTGCAGGCCTCTCTCTGATATAATACATTTTATAAAGTTGCGAATATAAGAAAAACTACAGAAGAGATGTAAAATATTCTTGCGAATAACAATAAAATTCGTTATTAATGAAAATCATTTAGTAGTTTGTAATTATTTCAGTTATTAATTTTATCAAAACAGATTTTGTCGCGATTAAGAATATATGGATCTTATTATGTTACTCACGTAATGATAATAAAATGATACTAAATCTACAATAAACAATACCTAGAACAAATGTTTATGTTATTATCATGAATCGATATCACATGTAGTGATCAATATTAGTTCAGATTACATCCAACTATGGAAACGATCATTGATAGAATTTTTAAGTTAATCAACTTCATACGAATTTCCACAAGATCTTGTAATAATTGACCATTTTAATGATTGATAAACTTTAAAACTTTAAGTTACTCAACAGGTAATATTTTACAAGATTTTTTTATCTTTCTTTTGCTACAATTTCCATATCTTTTTTAGCTAGACTAGTATAATTAGTACCAGAAATTTTCCATTGATATCTATAGAATATTTCAGAAAAATTATTATTTGGAACTTAACGTTTTTAAAACGTAACAATTTTATCATTTGATTGTTACAAAAAAATATCCGATAATAATGACGTAGAATATTCTCATATAGTTTATTAAAATTCAAAACGTGAAATTCATTAATATGATTAAATTTTATAACTTGTTAAATAAAAAAATAAATATTAAAATCGTTACACGTAATGAGCATGCAAGTCGGTCAGATGATTGTGAAAGCTTAATTGCGAAATATACGAGTTTGAAGAGCCAGACATTCCAGTTAAAAATAACGCAATTAAATTATAGCTTCGCACATGCAATGTTAATTCTAATGTAGATGCACCGATGCAGATACTTACGTATTAAATCAACGCAGATAGCACGGTGGTTTGGTGCGTCTGTACTAGGCGAATTATACACGTGAGTGTATAATACCTACGTTCTCGAGAGACTCTCTTGTCAAGTCCTTCACACAACTAGATTTGACTTCTTAGGGAGACTTAGAGAAGCGATGCTGCTTTGTGTTTATTTATTACTAATTAAAAGTTTACCTTATTAGAATATTAGAATAATAATAAAAATTATAACATTCGATTAAGGTTCTTATTAAAGATACCATATAATGACATATTTTATAGAAAATTTTCGGCATTTAAAAGATTACCTTTTTTACCTGATACTAATTATAACATAACATCAATGTTATAATTTTGCATTCAATAATATATATAAAATATAATAACATAGTACGAGAATTATTCAGGATGTCTGTTACCGTGATAATCATTAATGACAAATTCCAGAGATCATTTCAAGATGGAAATTCTAAATCTGTCAAAATGTCGAGGCTATTATAGTTTTTAGTTAGTATTATAGTTATAGTTTTTTTAGTATTATAGTTTTTAAATGGGGATTCAAAGATAATTAATTAAACTGTCCGAAAAATTTGTGCGCTCAATTATTTAAAAACTAAAGCCTTGACATTAAAAGTTGCGTCTCGAAATAATCTCAGAAACTATCATTAACATGGTTATCATGGTAAGTCTGGATTATTCTTGTATTATTGCAGTCAGCATACAGTGTTTCAAAAATGTTTTAAAAATATTTATTTTTCGTTAATTATACATTATACAATTTATAAAAGTAATATTTATTAAATGTTTATTAAGCATTTATTTTATCTTAATTATTCATATGAAATAATAATATAATGAAATATTTACTTAACATTTATATTCATATTAATATGTTATAATACATTTAATATTCATATTAATTATTTATTTGTAACAATGTGATTTGGAGAAAACATTTATTTAATATTAATTTAATTTTAATTTAATATTTACATTCAATAAAATTCAATTTACAATAATAATTTGAAAAAACACTTATTTAATATTTATTCAATATTAATTTGATATTTATTTTATATTAATTATTTATTTAAAACCTTAAAAACATTTATTTGACATTTAATCAATTAATTTAATATTTGTGTTACATTACTCATTGCAATAATGGTTTGAAAAAGCATTCATTTATTCAAATGATATTGAAATTTTGAAAAGATATCTTGAAAGCGAACTTAAAATTGAATTCCAAGTAGTATTTAAATAATTATCGTACTTTACTTTAGTAGATAACGTTTCTTAAAATATTTTTAAAAACATTATTTGCTAATTGTTAAAATAGTTTTTTTTCAAGCAGTAAGAAAATGTTTTTTTTTAATGTTAAAATAAACGTTTTTTAAAATAGGTGACTCAACCACTTAAACAAACATTTTTAGAAATGTGTTTTCTACGTAGTTTTAAAAGCACTTTTAAAAACATTTTTGCTGACTGTTAGAAAACGTTAAAGAAATATTGTTTTAAATATTAAAATAAATATTTTTTTTAATTAAAAAAGAGTAACTTAATCCATTTTTAATGTTTTTAAAAACATTTTTAAAAATATTTTTTAAATATTTTCGAAAATGTTTTTTACACTGAAAAAAATTCTGGTTAAAAATAGGCGAATCAGAAATTTCTAATTAAATTTATTAGAATTCTAATTGAGATAACTGGAATTCTGAGTGATACAATATTTCTGATAAAATATATTTACTAGAATTCTTATGTTTACCAGAATAATTATATTAATCAGAATTCTAGTTATCTCAACTAGACTTCTAATAGACATAACTAGAAAATTCTGATTCGTCCATTTTCCATCAGAATTACTTTAATCGAACCAGATCATTTTTCTCAGTGTAAATATTTTTAAATCATTATTTATTGATTAGAATATGTAGTACATTTATATTATTGAGTGCGAAATAAAAATATTGATGTTATGTTATTTTTAGTTTGTGTCAAGTGAAAGTTTGACTTAAATTTTTTATAAAATATATATGTCATTACTTATATACAGTACTTTTTATAGAGATCTTAATCAAATGTTACAATTTTTATTATTATTCTAATATTCTAATAAGATAAACTTCTAATTAGTAATAAACACAAAACAAAATCGCTTTTGTCTCTAAGTTTCCTCTAAGAACTTAAATCTAGTTTGAGGACTCGAGCTCGAGAGTCTCTCAAGAGCTTAGGTTGTATTATACACTCACGTGTGTAATTCGTCTGGTGCATACGCACTAAATCACCGTGTTATCTGTATTGATTTAACACATAAGTATCTCTGGCATCTACATCGATGCGTCTGCATTAGAATTAGCATTATACGTGCGATACTACAATAGTTTTTTAATCGCATTATGTTTAATACTGGTAAGTATTCCCTGATGAAATCGGAAGAATCCGTGAATTGCAACAGTATTCAATTGTTCTAAAATTATACTCTTCCGTATGATATATATTAATTTTCGCAATCATGAAAAGATACATACAGATTCCAAGAACAAGATATTAGTCCATTATTACTGAAGTTGCTTCATTTTACGGCGTCGTGCTCGCAAATTTGCACAAACGACCTCAACAAAGTACATACGGCAAAGTGCGCTTGCAAAATTATATCGAGAGAAATACGATATATATTCCTTCCGGTCCATCATATCGTGATTACTCGAAAGTGACGGATGCATATTGCAAATTTCGGAAGCTTCGTTGACTTGTGGCTGGAACTTACATGCGGCACGATCCAGCAACAGGCGCTACGCGCGAGAGAAGAGCCAGAGGGAGGGGCGATTCCAACAAACGATGTCGGACTTCGGAGTAGATGTTAATGTAGTATGTGTGTGACAACGGGATTGACAACATGGATACGACTGACCTAGGAGGAGGTGTGTTTGAATCTTATTTTCGATAATATCGCACCGGAGAAGACCGCGACGGTTGTTGAAACAGTTTCGCACACGATGCGAGGATGGTGTTGACCCGCGCATCCGGGGGAAATTGGGAGAGAAACGACGTGGACCGACGAGAGATGAAAAAAATTTTAGAGAAACAGGAAATGGGAGACGGGCGGCGAACACACGGGTGCATTTGGTGTGCTTTTTCCACCTCGTTTCTTCTCCTCTATTTCCGCTTTTTTCCTCATTTGGTGCTCTCCGCGCTTCGCCGCGAATGCGAGAATTGTCGCACTGTGAAAAACGGAGAATGTGCGGAAATCACATAGGCTAGGATGTTCTCTGCGTCTGGATGTTCTCTGTGTCGATCCATCCCACGATAAATGATGAGCGAGAAAACCCGTGGCCGTTTTGGTGAAGAAAGTGCTCAGTTAAAAATACATACAAGCGCAATCCCCTTATTGTATTCGTGATATTCGTGACACTATACGAAGTCAATAATATCTCAAAGCATACATTTTTTCATTTTGTCATTCTCTTTCATTTTCTTCATTTTCTGCATCTGTCAAATTTCACCACTTGCCTTTCTCATTTTGTTTTTTTTTCTCTTTGAGTGTACGCGATACTCGATCATAATGCTTGCAGATTTTAATGATTAAACCTGAAAGACCTCTTTCCATTTTTGTTTTATTTAATTTTTTTATTTTTTTCTTCATTTTATTGTGCTCTAATTCCAGCACAATATTCTCAAAAAAAAAATTTACTCTTTGCTTTCTTTCCTTTTCCCTTTATTTCTAAAATTACTAGATGACATCGCATTTTCATGAATAACATTGAATGCTTGTGTCTCATAAATATATGTTTGTATATTAAAGAGAATTATTCATTCAAATATCATTTAGATTTGCAAACTCAAAAATTCATTAAAGTGTAGTCTCAAATGTATTTATGAAGTGTTCCATGTGAGTAGATGCAAATAATTTCTAAGTATTTCGCTATATGTATATGCAGATGTATTTTATTTACAGATGAAATATTGCTTGTGTGCATATATTGCTTCTTGTATATTTTATTACATTATATGGCACTCTTTTGTTTATATTGTTTATGCACGAAAATAAATCGCCAACTATGCATGTATTCATACAAAACTTGATTTATTACCTAATTTAAAAATTGCAAATAAATATTGACTACTTAAAAACTATGAAATAATTTATCAACTTTTATTGAGTTCTTTTACAAATCTTTTCAAAAATGACGGGAGACATGTCATAGGAAGATAAATTATTTTGTGGAAGATAAATTATTCGACACGTGTGAACTACGCAAGTAGTATATATTTTATTCATATTAACACACACAATTCAGCAAAATTAAAATAATTTATGTCACCAATAAAAGCGTCGAATTTAACTCGACGATCACTATCAAACATATAATATAATTAGAGTATTCTCTTTTCCAGTAAAATGTCAAACATATTCTGGTTATGTAAAATGCAAAAATAAATTTTCAGCGAATTGTCGAAAATATCATTTTTATTATAAATGTATCTGTTATTTTCAAGCAAATCGATCAGAATTAATTAGGTTATTTAAATGTCCGAAAATAGTTAAAAAGCTTATAAATTTTCTGAAAATGTTTCTCAAAATATTTTTTAAATTATTTGAGACTTGCCATTAATAGGCTTACAAAAGTTGTAAGCCTATTAATAGCATATTAACATTGACAATGTAAACAGTGTAAAAATTTATCTCTGCACTGTATTTTTCAAATAAAACATTCGCTTACATTAATCTTTAATAAATATAATATTCGCAAAAGTATATAATTAATGTAATATTGTGGACATAATTAACGTATTAAAGCTATAGTTCAGCGAAAAAGTTTTGAGCCGAGAACGACGGGAAGCTTTAGATAGCTTAAAGCAACTCATTAAGCATCATCATTAAATAGAATTAATGAATTAATGAATTAATAAAAACGCTCATCATCCTAACATGTTCTTTGTCATTTACTAGTATGACAATTCACCCAATTCGCAGCATCCAATTAACACATAAATCGGACAACTCATAGTCACATTTTTTGAAAAAAAAAGATACTTTTTTATTTTTTTAGTCAAAAAAAGGATATTTACTCAAGAATATCAATTCTTTCATGTGTTCTAATATTTATTGTAAACAGGCAATATTAAGAAAATAGATCAATATTTTGAATAATTGATTATATACAAATGAGATTTATTATTTCTTATGAATATTTTTTTCATAAAAACATATTGGAATAATTGATATTAGATATTTTTTAGAAAATATATTTGGGATAAAAAATTACAGATTAATTATACATTAATTATCAATCATCGTAATTACACGGAAATTAGTAACACTATACTTGATGTTGATCAGAGTTTTAACGCTGCTTAATTTGATTACGATGACAACATTTATAAGTTAATAAAAGTGTGTGTGCACCCTTTCAATCAATTTAAATGACATACGGTTCGAATAGAATTTAGACAAATATAATAAAGTCGAGTCAATCGAAGGTCTGTATAAAAGTATTGAATAAAAGTCGACAATATTTTTTTGTTTAAAAATATTAATAATTTTAAAAAGAAGTAAAGAACATTTTTCATCCCTTATCACCATTATAATTCATTTATTATCATTATGATTCTTATTACGCTATCGATTTAAATCTCTTCTGTCTTTCGCAAAGTTCGATTACGCGAAATGCGCGACGATAATTAATGTAAACCATTCATTTACGTCTCCTACGTCACGATATTGTATTTACAGTGTTCTCTGTGGCCATAATATATATCATAAAGATGCCGAGGCTACGATTAAGATATATCCACACAAACTTGCACAACCACATAAACGTACGCATAAAGAAAAATTATCCAATCACATTTTACATGCGTCTTTATAGGAGAAATGTGATTGGATAATTTTCTTTATGCATACGTTTATGCGGCTATGAAAATTTAAGTGGATATACCCTTAATACCTTCGCAGAAAGGAAAGCAATTAAGGGAAAAATCGTGGGATTAAAAGGATTTTAAAGCTACACTAAAGGCGCGAAGGAATTTCTGTTAATTGCGGGGACATCGCGCTGATTATCGACGATTCGGCAGTTAACCGATTATCCGTCCATCCGTCCATCGGCCACCGTCCGCCGGCAACTTGCGCCGCGCCCTTCCGACCAAACGAATCGCCGTAGAGCCCGGGAGAGTCGTTGAGTCGTCGTGATATATCTACGTTTATACGACGTACATTAGACATGAATGGCATCTGTTCTGCCAAGTTGAATGAGAGCAATTTAACTTCTTTAGGCTGCTTAATCGGTAGGAAGTCACATCCAGTCACATAGCGATATATACCGGTAAGAGGCACCAATACGCACACGTTCGCATGATCGTCTCCTCGAGACAAGAAGAGAAAAAAGACAGGGAAGGGGCAGAAAAAATTAAAATATTAAAATATATGTAATCTTTATATATAAATAAAAATATTGTTGACAATCTTTTATCATCGTGCAACGCGACAGTCGCGTCGTTACGGATAAGGCGACGGTGTATGTAATTAAGTAATCCGGCACGAACTTACCGCCATTATTTTGGCGATATTTAATCTATTAAAAGGATAATTTAGATTGGACGCACATCGCGGTGATCCGATAAAATGCTTGAAGTGAGCGAGATTGATAATTCAGAAAAAGAGCGATCATTGCAAGTGCCGTCTGAATAAATAATGCCTATTCTCTATTATTGGAAAGTATTTTTCACGATATATCTTAATTACTTGTTTCATCTATCTTGTCACATTTACAGAATGATTTATCGTTGTCCCGTTTAATAACTGTTGATTCTAGTTGAAGCAGAAATTCGTGATCACAATAAGACAGCGGCTGCGTAACATTCGCGTCAATAAAATTGGCAATTTTTCAAAATAAAGAGAGATTTTTTTTTTTGGAATCTTTAATGTGAAAAATTCGGAATTTATTTCTAAATTTCTAAATTTTTTTCGCAATCCACACGGAGAGAATTTTGTTTTAAAATTGATCCCGAAAATATGGTAGTTGCGGTAATACATTATTTTAAAGATTTTTATGCACTTTAGTAAAATTAATCAAACTTATTTTATACTTTATCGTAGTTTTATTGATGAACGAGGGAGATTTCCATTAAAAAATTCTTGGAAATACAATGTTGTCCCACTAATATCATATTTTCAGGGTAAACTCTAAGAAAAAAGAAATTCTCTTCGTGCATGATTTTCCGTCATACAAAAATTTACGTGTCACATGTCGATATATCTCCAAATACCGATACCATATACACGCGAGAGAAAAGTCTATCCTGACAAGATACGTTTCAAAATAGAAAAATTTTTCAGTTCTTTTTTAAATCGGCGACATGACATCCGGATGAAAACCCGACAATCGGATAGTGGAATCGATCGATACTTTCCAAAAATGGAGGGAACGTGTATCTCGCGACACAAGTTCGACAGTTCGGTAAACGGTCTGTGAAGTGTCGCCTTTGAGAATTCGCTCGCTAAAATTGACGCTAACGAGCTGGTCGGTCAGTACATTCGCGTGCGTGTACGTGATCAATCGTATACATTTTTCGCAGGCTTTTAGGGTTACTTCTGTGCCACGGGCTCCGTTCGCCAAATAATTCGCCAAATAATTCGGTACGACACGACGGTTCCATAAAATTGAAGTAATGGCGGACGGTAACGAGACGTTTCCTACTTGGCGTATCGTTATCTTACCACCACACGATCCGATTTGGACCGTCATACCGTCGCGCTGCCGACGTTGCGTCGACCATCCGTGTGCCCGGTGCATATGCGTGACATTTCGTGTCAGCGTTCAGCGTTTCAGCGAGAACGTTCCTATTCGGCGAGTCAACGTACGTGCTAATATACCGATTTCGTAACCACCTCCTCGATCTACCTCCTCGTTACACCACGCGCCTCTCCGTTCCCTCTTAGCGCCAGAACGAGCTGCCGGCAGACTCTAAAAAGATAATGGTTAACTTTAAGCTCTTCCCTCGGCTCTTATCGTATTAACCCATGAGCAGAGTCGTGTGATGCCGAGGAAAAAGCCTCTGCTTTACATTAAAGCAGCAAACACGTAATTGACGACGTTTTATATCGTTAATATCTCGCGAACGCGCGTGACGTAAACCCGCGCTCGTGGAGATTACCGAAAACGCTTGGAAAATCCTCTTCTGCGTCGCGATCTATAAATGGATACCACGCTGTGTGTCCGATTTAGTTAATACGCACTGTACCTGTACCTCGCATTATGCAATGGCAAAAAAATCCATTTCATCGTATACGAGTGTGTCTAGGTGCGGTACATCCGGTACATTCGGTTATTATGCGGTTGCAACGAATGAGCACAAGGTGCGGCGAAAATCGTGCCTCGAAGTGGGAGGATCGATCACGAAAAAAGTAAACAGAGAAATCGCGGAATAAAAAATGTACAAATACAGGTTTCTCGACGGAAGCTTCATCTTCAAGCAAATTCATCTCAAATATGTAGACTTCATTAAAATAGATATTTTGTGATATTATACAATATCATGATACAGTAAATTGTCCAGATTTGATCCAACTACGGTAGGGTTGATTTATGCGATAAGCTTAAAAATTTAAATGTCTCTTGATAAAAAAAGAATGAAAGAAAATAAGTCTAATTACATCCAATGATAATGCTTGTGATGTCGACGAAGCAGGGTTGGGAAAATTATTTTTAAAAAGTAACTCGTTACCACAATTCGTTATTCTGGAAAAAGTAACCCGTTAGCAGTATCGTCACTAAAGAGTATCGATTCATTACAATTTCCGTTATTCCATTGCTTTTTTATCGAATTCTGATGATCTTTTTTTAGACTGACATCCAATTTGTCGCTAATTGACCAATTCTTTTGAACTGGTCAATTACACGAGATCCGTAATGGTTATGATTAATTGCAACATGATCAAACATAACGCTCCCTTTTCAAACTCGTGTATGCACGTTCTATACATATGTACTTCTATAAAGTAACGGTAAAATTAACGATTATATTCATTATCGTTATCCAAAAAATATAACTGCATTATTATTATTATTATTATTATTATTATTGTTACTAATAAAAAATATAACGTCGTTACCAATTTGTTATTTAATAAGTAACAATAACGGTAACGACATTACAAGTAATACATTACTTCCTAACTCTGCGATGAAGTAACTCAAAGGTACTTCCGTTGTAAGGTCAATGCTCCCGTATGAAACGCAGTGTTTGTCACTCGAATTTGCTAATAAAATTTCTTCGCAATGAAAACGAGAAATGACTCAAATGAAATTATTTATTCAAGCTTTCGGCAAAAATTTTAGAGAATATGAATGCGAGTATGCTGATGATTGCTACAATTGTGTCGTATTGTGAATTTTATTCAAAAGGTGACTTACGTTTTTAGGTATAAATTGTACGCCACCGGCTATAGAAGATTTTCCACACGACTTGTTTGATGAAGAGCAAAGACAAGGCGGTGCCGTTGTTGTACACGTCATCGTGTCGCTTTATTTATTTATCGCTTTAGCAGTAGTATGCGATAAATTCTTCGTACCTGCTGTAGAAAAAATATGTCACGGTAAGGGTTGCATTTATATCTCTTTCGCTAACTTTCTACGCTTGCGCGTGTATTAAGGACTGAAAAGTTTAAATACCGTTTAGCTTTGCTTCTGCGAACTTATGAAATTTTCAAAATGACATAAAAAAAAATGCATAGTATAATTTGAAAATTAAAAAATTGATTGATTGTATTTCAGTCATACAAGACATATATTAAAGGCGCTATATCTTTTCAATTATAGATCTGTTTGATAAGAACCAAATATAATGAAATTTAGATTATTGAAAATAAATTAAATAAGAATCTGTCTCTTATTTAATTTATTCTTATCGGTATACATTTCGTTTATATTTGGTTCTTATCAAACAAATCTGTAATTAAAAAGACAAATCAAGTCGCAGCGCGGAGTTCATGAGACTGAAAAATTTTGTAAATTTGCATATGAATATTATCTAACATTGAGATCAAAAATAAAATTAAAATGCCTATACACTAATAAATTTTAACAAATAAATAACGAAACTCTCTTCTTGGATTAATCTCGAGTCAAATTTAATAAAGTTTTATTTTATCATTTAATTACCAAGATAATTAAAACTGAATAAAACTATATTTTTTTATATTAATTATCTTGATTAAATTTTAAGAGTTTAATTTTGTTAATTTTGCTAAACTTGAATATCTGTCTTATTTTAAAAACTGAGAGAGCGAAAGTATGATGCATAAGTGCGAGCGTGGCTAATATAGGAAAAAAGTAGTAGTATAAATTAATTACGAAAATACAAATCTAGTCTGTTGTCGTGATATACTTTAACAGATTATTATCCAGTAAAGTATATCATGGCAGTAGACGATAGATCAGGTTCGCATTTTTCTAGCGCTTCTTTTTCCCATTGTGCCAAAAGTCCTAGAAAAATTCACTTTACTATCACTGACAATAAAGATGTAGTGGTGACTTCTCTTATATGCCTGTGGTGCGCACGCTGATTGTACACAGTCATATGGTCACCACTGTTTAAATGTCGATTCCAAATGACGATTTTTAGAGGAGTTCTCTTGGCAAAGAATACTTTCGGTGGTTTGCCATTGTCTTCCGAGAGGAGCTACGAATGTTCGAAAAATTTTTCGGTTCTGCCTAGAATCGAATCTAAAATCTTCTCTGATATAGCAGTCTCGTTCGCTGCCACTACGCTACGCTCGCATTTATACATCATATACATCTTATATATAAAGACTGATTATTATAGCAGTTTTCTGTTAAGTAAAGTATCTTTGTTTCTTCTTAATTGTAGACTCTCGCTTATAAACGCACTATACGTAGACAGACACGCGCGTAAAGATATTTATTTAAAGCTGGCACAAGTGATGCCAATCGATCTTCGCAAAACGTAGCTAAAGTGTAGATCAGATCAAAGGAGATTTTGGCACGCTTAGCAATATCGAACTAATTTCATGCAACCGTTTAGATACGCGAGATGCGGCTGTCGAATCGATGCCCATGCTGCAGCATATCTGCGTCATTGCGGGCGCCAGGCACATCTTCAATCATTATAACAGTTCCTCATTCTGTTCTCGCGACATTTCTTGAAATACGATCAGTCTGTTCTATTCTCGTTATCACAACGCTAAACGTAACCATCCGAGGTCTGAGTTCAATTTGCGCAAATAGGAATGTCGTGTTTGTTAAGTGTCAAAAGAGGATCAGATGATGGTCATATTGCTCGCTAAATGTACGATGAGCACACGTTAAAAAAATATGTCTGACGCTTTTCTTACATTTGAATTTTAGAATAATTTATTTGCTATTAACTGAAATCTTTTTTTTAGCGAAAAAGAAAACTTTCTTGACTAGAATCTTTATAGATTCAAAGACTTTATGTAACAGTATGCGAATTTTTTCTTTATTCTTTTTTAGACTAGTTGCGGAAAGATTCGTGGTAAAGAATATTTTACCCCAAGAATATTCGGTGATTCACACTTTGCACGCAAAATATATGTGTAGAAAATTATAAAGGTAAATCAAGGCCGACGTTGCATTTCAGCACTCTCGATGTCAAAAGACGTAGCCGGTGCGACGTTTATGGCGGCGGCGACGTCGGCCCCAGAATTATTCGTGAATGCCATCGGAACATTCATCACGGAAGGTGACATTGGCGTCGGGACGATAGTAGGTTCCGCAGTATTCAACATCCTGGCTGTCCCAGCTTGCTGCGGCATCGGTGCGGGAATGGTAAGTTGCCAAGTGTGTCCTATAGTTTTAAGAAATCTAATAGATACGAAAAGTACGAAAAAAGAAAGTTAGCTATATTTCAAAAAATTTACAATACTATACGTGACGTTCAAGAGACACAGTAGTGTTTCGCAAATACACGTAGCTCAAAATTAGAATATACGATTAGGATACTTTTTGCGGAAATAAATGCAAGTTTAATAAACGTATGTATATATTTTTAAAACAGATTGTTATATGAATAAATATATTTTAATTTTCATTTATATTGCGATATTTCCAACTTCAGATACAAGTGATAAGCCATCTACCTACAATTACGTAATTAAATTTGAAGGTGATAGTACATTTTCTCATATTTTTTAATAGTGTATTTGTATTTTAGCATATTTTTTACTTTAAATAATTATGAGTAAATGACAGCAGACGAACTTTATCGAATAGATACGTATCAAATTGATAACAGATTGATTAATAATTGATAGCGATGTGCGTAAAAAAATGCATTATGATACGTAATCAATGTTATCGAAGGAAATATATTTATATAAATATCGTATACGTAAATTATATTAACGTAAATTTCGCATGAAATTAAACAAAAAGCGAAATTATTTATTTCTAAGTTTAGCACATTCTGCATTTTTTTGGTAATAATCTTAGATTTATTGTAAATTTTATGATTATAACAATATTATACATTATATGTATATAAAACATTAACATTGAATATTTGTGTTGTAATTTCGCAAATAATAATTATTTTTCTTTTCATATACAGTTGGTGCCTTTAGATTGGTGGCCTGTCAGTAGAGATTGTCTCGCTTACGGTGTCACAGTCGCAATTTTGATATGCATTATACACGACGAGCGGGTGGAATGGTACGAAGCATTAACATTGGTGCTGTTGTACATTGTTTATATTGCCGTGATGTATTGGGATAAATCGTTCCAGCGGTGTACAAGATTCCGTACGAACGACGATCAAATATCTTCAGACGGCCCACGAGTTACAACAGGTAAGATCGTTATTTCAATCTCACATTTTTTAATTTTTTAGATTTTTTAATTTTAATAGATTATCGTTATTTTTCGATTTTACTTCTACTTGTCTGAATGTTGTTTAAATTAAATTGATTTCATGTCGATGAGACATTCGTGACTGTATAGCATTTTTACAATAAAATCTCCACTACTTTCAATCACGTTTTTTGACAACCGAGTTTCAAGAATTTAACTTAAAAAAATTTAAATCTTTATAATCATTTTAATAATAGTAATAAGAATTTTTAAAAGAATAAAAATAAAATTTTGAATTATGATAATTTCGGATTTCTACATAAAATGTAAAATATATAAATAATGTATGTTTCTCACAGATTCTAGCGACATTCACTTACCAAGAACGGACAAATTACAATCTCCTGGCGATCGTGTGGAACAGATAGCCACTATCGACGTTCCGCTACAAAATGGTGGGACGAAAACGCAGGAAGAGAATCCAGAGCCTGGTAAGTTTGTTTCCTTCTAAATTTTTTTAATACACGACATTTATAATACGACATTCATGAACGGTTTGTTACGTAAAATATAATTTGTCGCGTAGAATTTATTACATTAGTCACATATACAAATATTTACTTTTCTAGTCTAATCTAATCAAATCGATTTCTATGATTGTCAGTGGTATTGACAATATCTTCCATGCAGCTGAGACGTATTTTGAAATAACGGTATTTGCGAATAACATGGTAAAGTGATGCGTAATATATTTCGTGACAATCACTTGATCGGTCAAGTACAATTAAGCACTTGTGAGTGGAAATTTCCAGACAGTTAATTACTATCAAAATCCAGAGATTGAATATTTAAATTTGACAAGTTTGGCTAACAAGCATCGATATATTTTACGTAAATGTTATGTAATTTTACAATTTCATCAGATCACAATTTTATCTTAAGATGCTTATAAAAACACTACGAACATAAACAAGAAACAATATATCTGTCGAATTTGAAAATCTCATAACATGTATAACAGATTACGAATACGAGCTCTTGGTGTGGCCAGCGCATGCTGGATGGTTAAGGAAGACGACTTGGGTCACAACATGGCCCATTCATCTAGTATTCATGTGCACAATTCCCGATTGTGAGAAGCCACGATTCAAGAATTGGTTCCCGATCACGTTCCTGATGTGTATTATATGGATTGGATCACTCAGCTATGTAGTAGCGTGGATGATCACTATAATCGGTGAATGATCATTTTAATTTGAAGCTTAAATGCGAACAAACATATCGTCGAATATCAAAATAATTTGTGAAAGATATTTGATAAAATTTTACGTAACTATATTGATTCCAAATCGAAGTTTATTCTACTTGAAAAAATAAGTTATCTTCGTCATGTCGCTCTCTCGCTATGTAAAAAACGGAAAAAAAGAAAATTGTAATGAAATAATCTTATTATGTAGAATTATTTAAAGATTTGATGTAAACGTATTTTATTCTTTTAGGAGACACGCTGAAGATACCAGATTCCGTAATGGGCATCACTTTTCTCGCGGCAGGAACTAGCGTACCCGAAGCCGTATCGAGCGTAATTGTCGCGAAACAAGGTATACAGATATTAACACATGTACTTATTTTGCTAATGGAAAGATTTTGTCAAAACATTTAAAAGTTTAGCTAGATACCGATCTGAAAAAATTTGGTTGAACCATCACAATTATGTGATACGCTCATACTAGAATATTAAAATTTTTTGCAGCATTACTCATTATGCTTAAGATTTTCACGTAATTATTTTGATGATCCAACAAAATTATTTTTAGATCTAGCTAGATTTTTAGATACTTTAATAAAAACATTCTTTCCATATAATTAATCTTGTAAACGAATATTTACTATAACAGAAAAATTTTGATGTACATTTTTTCATATTCGGATCTCAGCACGATTGTGTGTTTTGTAAAATGGTAATAAGAAATAGCAACGTTCTTTCTATATAATTAATCTTGTAAATGAATATTTACTATGGCAGACAAATTTTGATGTACATTTTTTTTTCATGCTCGGATCTTAGTACGGTTACATGTTTTATAAGATGGTAGTAAGAAATAGCAGTAATGAGAGTACATTCGAGAACTAGAACAAAATTTGAGACGTTAGTGCGATAGAAATGGGTAAAAGCTGTTAGACATCATGAAGAGGAACTCATTTTGATTGAGCTGTAAGAGTGCGAATGGCGCTCGGTAATTTCAAAGGTGCATACCGTGTCGAAATCCGAAAGTTCTATTATTAAAGTTGATAGTTGTTTTCATCTCAAGATCGCCTTAACTTTTCGTCTGCAATCTGGATCTTTCTTGTCCAGCACAAGTTTTTTGTTTACTGTTGTAAGTTCGAAGTTTTCAAGAAAATGCAAAAAATTCAAGGTTACTTTCCAACATTTCTATTACATTGCCAAATAGTTTTTTAAATTTTCATCTGATAAAAACAGAAATTCAAGCGAAAATAAGGAAAAAATAGCTTAAAAATGTATAACTTAACAATAAAGAAACTGAAGAATGAAATTTTACTATTGCCGAAAAAGATTCAGATTGCAGTCGGTGAAGTATATGAATAAAGTCCTAAGATGCCAAAATAGAGCTCTGTGATTATATGAATATTAGCCTAAACATCCGTAAAAGTTACATAACGAAAAAATGGAAATATTTCGATGTCTCCTTCATCTTTTTTTCTCCACTGTATACTTTCTACCATTCCGTTACGCTGTTCAGGACACGGATCAATGGGCATCAGCAATTCAATAGGATCAAACACGTTCGATATACTATTGTGCCTCGGACTACCCTGGCTGATCAAGTCGTCCTTCTCGCCCACGCAGCCCGGCAGGCATTACATAAGTATAAATTCTGGCGGGCTGGAGTACAGCGCGATATCATTGCTGTCGACCCTGATGTTGCTGTACATCGCGTTCGCCTCCAACAAGTTTCAGCTCGACACGAAAGTGGGCCGCGCCTGCCTGTGCATGTACGCCGTGTTCCTCATATTGGCGTCGCTGATCGAGCTCAACGTATTCTTCATGGTAAATCTCCCCACCTGCCAAAGGACGGTGAAATGATCGAGGAAACCCGGACGATGACCCGCTCGTAATAATGACGTACGGGCGCGGCCTCGCTCGCAATCCGCGCCGGAAACGTTCTTTCCCTCCCCCCCCTCCCCTCACCTAAGGACTTACCGAGAGACCCGAGCTTGAGCGAGGGGTGTTTATTTCCAGCTACACGGGACAGCTCACCGTGTGTACAGTTTTAATATCAACAATGTTATCGCCACGTTAGAACCAAGACATGTAATGCATTTTGTATTTACTTACTAAAAAATCCCGCCCCCCCCCCCCCCCCCCCCCCGCTTTCTCTTCTCTTCATCTCTATCACAATATTCCAAATTCGTCCTGGGAATCCATCTTCGAATCGTTATATAGGTTGACATTTTTTCGCTTCATGCGACACATACATCTACACAACATACGTTTTTACACATACTTATTAAACACACGCGCGCCTCTTCTCCTTGACTCCCTTATTCTTTCTTTTTCTCACTTTTTCTTACTTTTTATTTTTATTACCAGCTCCCTCTCTCTTTTCTCCACCCCCTCCACCCCTTTTTTCGCTTATTTCTCTCTTAAAGTACGATCACTGTGCTTACGGCCATATTGCGTGCGCCGAAGGATAAACTTACGATTAGCCACAGTAACGAGCCATGGATCTCATGCAACACGATCGAAAGTTCGCCCGGGGATGTGGACGCGTGCAAATTATCATTTACCTCTGAATAATTTGGCAACCGCAGCGAGCGATAGAGCTTGATTCGTAGAAGGGCGCTCTGCGACTGTGTCTAATTGTATATGAATGCGCGAGAAAGACTGCCGGCTCCGTTTAGCATAATCGCAGACCTCGGCATCGGTGTGTGACCGCGAGAATGTGTTTTTACGCGTGTGAAATATCACTCGATTTATCCACCGATCGTGAATCTCATCCACTTCAACGGTATACGCGGCGAAATTTCCATAAAAGGTATACATTTTGCTGTTAATACAAATATAGCGCTGCACAAAATTGCTCGATGGAAGAAAATTTTATTCCCATTTTTTTTTTTTTTTAGCTCTTTCGTATCTCCGCTGAGAATTGCCGGTAGTGAAATTTTACCCATCAAAACAGCGGAGATTCTCCCATTTCGATCACGCGCCTTTTTACGCTGCGAACGTAACTGATGTATAGCAAAACGCACAGATACAGACACAGCATACAGACAGATACACACAGAGCTATATAGACGTACAAACACACATATACACGGAAAGAATAATTTTGTTGAAGTATCTAAAAATTTAGCATGATACAGATCTGAAAAAAATTTTGTTGGATCGTTGAAATAATTATGTGGAACGCTTAAATTTTGATGATAATACTGCAAAAGTTTTAACATTCTAGTTTGAGTGTTCTATATATAATTTTTTTGATCCAAATAAAATTATTTTCAGATCTCCCGTATAGCTTCATTCCAGTAATAATCAGCAGCAACATTCCAAAACATTGTAAACGTTGCAGCAATGTTGCTACAAGCTTTTGTACTGTATGGGCTATATCTAGCTAAATTTTTAAATATTTTAAGATCATTCTTTTCGTGTAGATGCGTACAGATACATATAGACACACAGAGGTACAAAAACACGAATTGAACCGTTTGTAACCGTTTAAATCACGAAAAGAAGCGCGCGATACCTTTCTGCGATACATCTTTCCATTGCGATACACAAATCTGTGACTGTAAATGTGTCTAGATAAAACCGTAACTTAACATTTAATAAAGTACTGTAATAAGTTATTAAAATAATACACAATCAATAAATCGACACTCCTATCTTGTTTCTATAAATATATATACATAAGTAAGGGGTGAATCTTGCTCGAAAAATGTATTATGATATTTTATATATATATATGATCTAACGGACTGTCTTAAAAGTTACGAGAAAGCACCTCAAATTTATGCAAAACAGCAATGCAGAAAAAATGCGTAACTTTTAAGATATCTCTATTTATTCCGTGACATGAAACTTTTGATCGACAGACTTCTGACGTTTTAACGTTTGTTTCCACTAATATATTCTCTAAAATTCTTGAAGTGAAATCTCACTCCAAAAGAGTTAAAATACTGCCACTATTAAAAACGAGTGGAAAATTTGCACTTTTGGATAAGAGTGCAAATTTTTCACTTTTTTCAAATAGCGGTTGTATTTTAACTCTTTTGGAGTGAGATTTTACTTTAAAAAATTAGAGAGTAGATTAACTCTAGTTTAATTTACTCTTCCTTCTTTTCTACTTCTAAGAATTAGAATTAGAATTAGAAAAAAGATAAAAAGTAAGTTAAACCGAAAAAATTAAAATTAATCTACAGAAATGGGTATAAATCAGACAACGTCTAAATCGATCGCGTTTATAAACCGATGTTCATTTCACATCGGAAATTATATATGTTGCATATGATTAAGATGACGCGATTTGATTTCCTGTGTACATCCATTTTTAGTATATTACGATATTCTTACATCTACATAGAAAATTGAACGAAATACGATCCGATAATATATAATGCGCTGCGATTTATTAATTATTTAAAAACAATGCCAACATTGTTTTTAAAATACACATCGACGATAAGTTAACTTATCGAAATTCGAAACGGAGATTCTAGAAATAAATACATTTTCTTTGCACATCATTACATATTCCATAAGAGAGACAGAAAACTCAGATGTGTACATAGAAAACTCGGGGAATAAATGAAATATAACTCCTCCGGTCAATTTCATTTGGATTTTGCTTTCAGAATGTTCAGCGATTACTAAGTTTTCAAAAATCTAGACGCCAAAGATACTACCGTCCATAAATCTCGATCCGCTATTTTAGTTAAGCCATGTAGACATTGGCGAACATGAAACTGACACCTTTCAACATTCGCGAAGACATTAATATGAGAATAAATAACGTGAAATTTATGTCACGTGTGTCACCGTGCCGGCGGATCTTTCTCGCAATATATCCGCTATATCCGCTTCGAGAGTTCGATCGATGGACGGGACGGAAAATCAAACGTGGGATGACTCAATAAAGAACGATAGTCATCCTACGGATATCGGGCGCAATTTTATTTAAAGTCCACGTTAGATATATACGTTTTCCCCGCTTATACACACCGAGGGTTTCTGAAAATTCGGGGCCTTGGCACTGATTCAACGATCGAGTTTACTAGCGTCTGGCTCCTCATCTCGCGGGACCCGCAATGTATGAGAAGATACGAGTCGGTCGAGACGTTGGTAACGCCAACTGCATAAATTTCTTAACTTATTCCAACTGTTTCTGCGTCTGTGAAATCTGTCCGCCACTTGCAGGTACGTATATATATATATATATATATATATATACACGATTTTGTATATTATTTCTTGAAGGGGCGAGTATTATACGAGTGTCAACGCATGCTCCCAAGATAATACGCCAATAGTCTAGTCTAGATGTCTTTATGATATCTGTTATGTTTTTTACGATAAGCCACTATATCTTATCAAGTCTTATTAAGTCGTAAGAAATTGACCAGTCACAGTCGAATGCGGAAAGAATAATCGACTATGGTTAATTTCCTACGGCTTAAAACTTAGATAATGACTTATTATGACTAACTATGGAATATTGTAGAAAGCATGTATGTCTCAAATGACGTCTTTTAGATGTACATGTTGTCTGGACCGTTGATAATTAGAGGTCTGTTTTTTATTTCTACACTAGACTGCACCAGAACTTTCTTTCTCGCTTTCGCCAAATATCAAACATATATCTATTTCATTTTAAATTTCAAAAGCGCACTAGTTTAGTTATAAAAAATAGATCTCAGCGTTGGAATTTATAGATCGACGACAGATACGTATATTAAAACCATTGTCTCAGTCCATTCATTCCTCTTGCATCGTTTTTAATTTATCAAGCCTTACATTTTACAATTATCCTCAACATACACGCATTGAGCTTGCGTGACAGTTAATGACGGTCGCGTGTGTTGCAAGCGGATTTTTAGGTGTGCACAGCATCGACCGATCAAGCTTCGCTCGATGTTAGTTTTTCTGTCTTCAAAGGAAGGTCTTCGCGACTGCGAGAAACATCGCTCACGACTAACAATCCGCGTTTCGCTAATCGGCGTTGTCTCCGTCGCGGTACGTCAGCATAGGCATATGAGCTCGTTCACTGTGAGCGTAAATTAGGGTACAAACTGCAACGGTGGAGGAGGAGGCGGGGGTCAGTTGCGTGTCGGCGCGGCGGATCTGCAATGCGGCGTTGCCGTTGAGACCGTTGATTCACAAAACCCTTCTTCCTACGCCGATTATACCTCCGTTCGTATGTGTGCGTGCTTGTATATGTGCGATTGTGTCGGACGTGTCCGCGCGCGCGCGCGCGCGCGCGCGAGAAGCGACGCGGGGAGGGATAGCGCTGAACGTGGTTACACACACACACGCACACACACACACGCACACATACGTAGTTCCCCGTCTCTTCAAACACGCTTCTTTTAGAGATGCTTTTTGTCAATAAGCTTATAAGCATAAGTATCCAAAGCATCCAAAGATGCTCTTATCCGAGGAACACACAAGAGTCAATAAAAAATCAATATGACTTTATTTTGACTCTTTAAACGTTTAAACAGTCAACTTTTTTTTACAAAAAATCATTATTTTGATTTACTTTTATGACGTTAAAATAAAATCGTTTCTCTTAATTTGATGTGTTCCTTGATATTTACGTTATATTATTTAATTTACTTTTTGTAAATCGAGAAGAGAGAGTAAGTAATTTTTTAACAAAAGTGAAATTATATTAGAATCGTTTTTTTTTACGATGACTTTCTTTGTAACTCCTTTGCTTATACTATACGATAATGTACCTTAGCTCAGTATGAAGCAGCCTCAATTTATCACATAAGGAAAAATTGACCGCCTTCGGCCTTTATTGGCCTTTTTCTTGGAAAAGGGGATAATAAAAGCCAAAGGCAGACTAACAAAATATTACAATTGCTATAATAAATATTACTTTCCAATAAAATCATTTTCAATTTATGTTTCGTTAGATTATAGAACGTTTGTGTGAAAATATTTTATGGACAAGGCTATATTACTCTTTGGGTGCAAATAAAACAAAATTTTTAGAACATCTTTTTTCATTTATAATTGCCGATAATATCCTAGACTCATTCGTAAGAAAGAAAAGGAAAGATATATATACTTTCTAAAAGTTCTCC